ATGAACAGAAAATGTTGGTGTTATTATCACCACTTGTTGTGGTACCTTTAGTGTAATCCATTTATTGTGCAGTGTCTCATGTAAAATAGTCTCAAAGGTGTTGGCCCTTCTTCCTGACTAAAACCTCCAAAGATTGTCTAAATCATAAACCCAGCAAAAACGTGTAACAGCTTGTTTTCATGGCTAAGGTCAAACCGAATTTATTGTTCATGGGAGCAGACACTAAGTGATAAACACTGATGGCATGTAGAGACAAGACAGAAGATAAGTAGTACGAAGTAACTACAAGCTAGATGATTTATGGAAACTTTAGAATGAGTGTTAAAATGGTTTTAGTTTGTGCTGGCCAATCACAAGTGGAGCTTTGGTCCAGTAGGTGGACCTTCTACGGATGCCTAAGTTGTAGTGCACATCAAGCTAAAGAGAACAAAACCTATTTCAGTCATGACCCTGTCAAAAGTTGCACAATGAAGACCATCATGAACCTCCGCCAAATTTCTGAATGTTGTTTTGTACTTGAAAACGGTTTGAGTGTGAAGTGTATACACTTTTTGTTTCATTAACAAAACAAGTGTGACTTTGTAGTGCTAAATTGAGCAGGAACTGAACACATCATCTGGCTGTGAACCATCCTTTTCATTCCATGTTGCGTTTTCATCAGTTATCTCTTTTTTGAACATCCAGTGCCAGTCTACTTGTCCTGTTAATGCATAAAATGTTAAAGTGTCCTAATGTCCTGCCCAGGTACACCAGAGTCTCTGGAGGAGAAGGAGCGCCAGCTTTCTACCATGATTGGTCAACTGATCAGTCTGAGGGAGCAGCTCCTTGCTGCTCACGATGAGCAGAAAAAGATGGCCGCCTCACAGCTGGAGAAGCAGAGACAACAGATGGAGCTGGCCAGGCAGCAGCAGGAGCAGGTAGGGACTGGCTGGAAGATGTGTATGTGTTGGGGTTACCTACTTCAGTAGGTGTGTAAAGACAAGGAGAGTGTAGGTGATGTATGTGCAGTACAACAGCTTGAAGTAGCTGGATATGGTTGAGTGAAAGAATCTTTTTGTTAGTTTATAATAATTTGAAGTTCTGAAGATATCAAAAAGAAGCAATGATAGTTTGTAATTCCTTTCTCCCATTCCTTCCAGGTAATAACATCTTACTTGCTAACTTGATTGCAGAGGTTTGGGGGATGTGATTTTTTTTTTTTTTTTGTGATTCAGTGATCTCTTGAGATGAGTCAGGTTAGATAAACTTCCAGCAAATTTATTTAGAGAAAAAGCACAAAGGAAAATGTTAAACCTTTTATCCCCTGTATGTCTTTTACTGTAATGACCACAGACCAACTTGCTTCACCGCTAAATAAAGCAAATTAGGTTTGTTTTTTTTTTGTTTTTTTTACCATTTCCTGCAGTGGTTGTCATCTTCTAACCCCTTACATTTATCACATGACCCCTCCCAGGTTGGTAATCTTTGGTTTAAATATGATGGTTAAACTGGGATTTTGTTTATGACCTGTACGATTTCCTGAACACTCATGCCCCTGGCATTTTTGGATTGTTGTGTCATCCTAACAGAAAGTAATAACAATAACTTCCACCCAAGTTTTGAATGTTTTATTAAAATTTGTGTAGGTGTATTAGTTTGTATCTGTATGTCTGTGTGCAGCTTCAAAAGTTGCCAATGCGTGTCTTCAGGTGTCACACTGAGATCAGAAAAAATAGCGTGTGACAGAAAGTGAGAGAGAGTCTAAGCAGGGCGGCATTTAGGTGAGCTGCTCTTTGTTTTTCGCTGTTTGCCGACACATTACTGTAGGTTGGCATATGACGGGCTCTGTTTGGACAAGTCCACACCTCCCATCACAACACATTCCACCTTTCACAGCTTCACAAAGGAACAGCGAAGATGGAGAGGGTGAAAAGAAAGACAGATTCCAATATCAGCCAGTCATTTGGCTGTTGAGACTTGATAGGACAATGCCCTACAGACAAACCCAGAGAAATGTGCCTTTAATGAAATATGACATGTGTGCAAATGGGGCGCCGCCTCCCATTCAGCAGCCTGTAATTACATTTCAGAATAAATATACTAAATGATTCCTTAAAAAAAGAGAGCTGCTTTACTTTTCTGGCTTAGAATGGGCAGAGCCAAATAGTTGACGTGCTGCCCCTTTAAACATATAACCTAACATGACTGTCCAGTACCAGCTGCCCATCACTAGATGACACCCTACATTTGACTTTATTGTTTATTAGAAGAAACAACTATGATCTCTTGCTGATGAGAGTTAGTAGGTGTGTGGGGGGGTGTTCAGTGGGATGCAGGTTGTTGTTGATTGGCCTGGTGAACGCATCAGTCTCACAGATGTTCAGAAACTTTCCACTTTGCTACTTTGGCTTTGCTACTGGGCTGAGGCCCATTGATTTAATAATCTGAGGTCAAGTAGACACGTAACTCACTGCCAGTGTACCTCCTCTCTGTTTTACTGCTCTGTACTGCTTTTGAGTATTGCTTTTAAATGCATAGGCAGTTTTCAGCAGCACATGCCAGGTTCTGGTTTTTAAAAGAAGCATATTGGTTGGAGTCCAAAAATGATTTTGTCACAATTAATGCTCCTCACCACAGACCAGCAAGGTTTGTCAAAAAAATGAAAAGGCAGTAATTTAACATTTTAGTGGAGGTATTCAGTGTGCGTGCACCCTTTCTTTGAATAGCTGATTTTCACAAAGATTTTAAATTGTTATTGTATGCAGATTTTCTATGAGCCCCACTCATCAACTGGAAGAGATGATATAGAAATAATGTACGCTGTTGTTTTATTAATCATCAGTTTGTCTCTATCACTTTGTGTGTCTGTGTGTCTGTGTGTGTGCAGATTGCCAGACAACAGCAGCAGCTCCTGCAGCAGCAGCACAAGATCAACATTCTCCAACAACAGATCCAGGTAAGCAGCCAGACAACTACCCACTCACACAGCAACTTCTTTCATTCATTCCTCACTTGGTGAAGAGGACAGGGCACTTGTAGACTCCCCCTCACTTTTCCCCCATTGTCTCTTATTTGCTATGTCCATCTCTTTGAGGACACGGTTAATTTCTGGTCGTTTGTCCTTCGTCTGGATTATTTAGGTGTCAATTTTCTTCCATTTCTGTTGTTATCAACTCGTGTGACTGGAAATGTGACCTTTATCTGCTAAATTTTGCCTGTGACAAGAAAGAATGTGAACATAAATATACATTATTTGTCTATAGAGACATGCATGCAGATAAAAAAAAGATTAGTTTTTAATTTCCCTTTTCTCTTTCTGTCAATCTGTTTCACCAAGCCACCTTCTTGCCAAGCTACATACATGCTCACCAAGAAATGACCACAGCTGTGAGCCTATGCTGGTAGATTTGTGCACTGTGGCCAGTAGCCAGGTGGGAGGTTAGAAACTTGTATTTCATCAACATTGTTTTAAGTGGTTTTATTGGTTAGATAATATAAATCCACTTGTCACTGTGACCAGCTGAGTCTCATCTCATACTCCCTTTATCCCTGTTTGGTCCTGAGCGCTGGGGTCTCCCTGTGCTCAGGATGTGTGATGTAGTTAACAAGAGCTTGTGTTTTCTCTTTTTCTTATTCTTTTTTTTTTGCCCCTCTCTTGGATCTTAATAAAGCTTAGATCAGACCTCATTAGGCCTCTGAGCCCCAGGGGAGTGTGAGACCATAAAAACCAGCTCCTACTCTTCCATACTGTGAAGCATGGATACTGTGTCATGTTTGGTTTTGAGGATGAAGGGGTATGCATCAAATAGTTCTTGAACACAGCATGTTATCATGTAAAGCTTCAGAAGCATCTGCTACAAATCCAGGTGAAGCCCTTACCACTGTATCTCTTGTTTCACACTTGCTGAATTTAATTTAAAATGACTACAATTACTTCAATATGCTGTTTATTAGAGGTGCAGAAATTAATGCACATATGAGACCAAAACAAAGAATTTGTTTTCACTGACAATTTGCTAAATATTATATGCATCACAGCTGTGTGTGCAGCAACTTCTTGTTATTTTTCAAACAATAGCATTTGGCGAACAAACCCAGCTTAGTAAGAAGCATATGGTCTATCTACTGAACAGAGGTTTAGAACTATTATGGCTAAGCTCCAGGGCTTAGTCACTGGGGTACGGGCTGTTTATGCTGTGTCGGATGTGTGTTGGCCTTACACACACAGGCAGCACAGCACCAGTCTGTTTCTACTTATCAAATCCAGACCTGAGCTCCTCTCAGGCCAATACTCTGAGGACTTGACCAAATGCTACTGTTTCAGCTGAAAAGAATAGGCCTCAGTGTGGTGCAGCCACTTTTTAGAAGTGCCAGTTGTTGTTCATATCCTAATTTGAAACACTAAATATGTTGTCCAGATGGAAAAATAAGTTTTTGCTAAAGAAGTAGAATAGTTGCGACTCCCTGACGTGCAGTTTTACACATGCTACATGTTGCATCATCATTCAGCAATTAATTAGCATTAATTTTATGACTCATGATCATAAATGTTGAAACTTTTATAGATCAGAGTTACTATATGAGAAACAGTCTTATCCGTGTTTGACTTATGACCAGAAACAATGGAGGCCCGCTGGGCAGCTGTTGTCAGCCCATTCTTCCATTTCTGTCTCTTCTTGCTCCTTCTTTCCTTTCCGTCTGCGGCCGGTGTCGGTGTGTTTGTCAGCGAGTGCGGCGCAGTGAGGTGAGGAGGGGGCATAGTTCAAAGTGACCCAGGTTTCCTCTCATGTGGTTTTAAATGGTATGGAGAAGCAGCGGGGGATGTCCACAGGTTAAAGAAACGCTTCCGAAGGCCCCGCTCTGATAGATATGGTTACGCACATACAGACATACGTGCACACAGCAGTAGATACATGCGTGCAAGCTCAAATACATATGCATAACAATATTATAGACATCTGATATTAACAAAAACTAGAGACAGTTTATATTAATGCATAAATGCACATGTTTGTAGTTCATATATTGTATATTCATACGAAACAAACACACAGAAAACACACTTCACAGAAAGCACACATGCACTTATGCAAACACACATATAGGCGCACACCCATGCTCACTCACACACAGCGGTGGTGGGCCCTTTGTGTGCTGTAAGCAGAGCGACCCAGCCCAGCCTGGCGGCTGACAGGCATGTGTCTTTGTTAAGTCAGTTCTTGTAATGGCTCTCATATGTGGCCCATTTCCTTCAGGCCCACAAAGACGCAGGCCCTAACCGCACCGCCCGGGCCCTAGCTAACGGGCTAATTAATGACTGCAAAGCCGCATTCCTCCTCCTCCTCCCCCCTCTCTCTGTTCTTCGTTTATAACTCCTCTGTGTCCTCCTTTGCCGCCCTCCTCCTCTTTTTTCTTTGAGTTCTTGCTTGAGTTATGAATGGGTTGTTTTCTTATTGTTTTTACCTTTCAGCTTCATCTTGTTGTTTTACTTACTCCTGTGAATGATGGCCAACTGCCTCTTTCATAATTACAGTATGTTGCACCCGAAACAGCATTAAGCAACTGTTTTTGTTGTTTACGTTGTGACTAATTAAAGCAAATTATAGTTTTGACCAACATTCATAATCTGAGCTTTTGACACATAACTGGCAGTACATGACAGCATAATGAGTTTCAAATGTAGTCTTCAGTAGTCAAGAAAAATCTGAATTTTATTTGTGAGTTCTGACAGACTCAAACCCAAACATTTAGCAGATAAACTACTTTATTTTCCTGGTTTGGTCACTGTTAGTCTGAACCAAAGCCAGCTTTCCCCTTGTCAATAAAGTGTTGACGTAAGGTGAAGGCCTGAAAAACTGGGGTTGCTAATAAGACAAACAGGCACAAACACAACAATCCACACACACACACACACACACACACACACACACACACACACACACACACACACACACACACACATACATGCATAAGAACTAATGGAGCAGGCAAATGGCTGTTAGACAGACGGCCCCTACATCAGCACATACAGCTTCAGACACAATGACTCGGAAAGCCATGGAAGGCCCATAACGTCAATTGGACCCACCAGCTATGGAGAATGGCTAACTCTTGACTTTACAATGGCCCTCAGTCTAGTGTATTACCCTGTGTTGACTTATAGAAAAATGCTGTAAGCATATTCTGTGTGCTTAAGTTAAAATCACCTCTAGTGTCTTCATTGTGTTCATGTGGGTGTAATAGGATGGTGGACTGAACAGTGCACTTTTTGAAGGTATATTGTGTTCTTAAAGCTGCATTAAGCAAAATCTGACCACTAGGGGGTAGAGAGACACTCAAACTAAAACAACTCAACCCCAACATTAACTTATTCAGTTGATGTGGCTGTGATGTTGGCAAAGGATCGTTACTTATGAGGCTTTCACACATGAGCTCTGGACAGTGTTCGTGGAATCCAGTCCAGACTTTGTCCAGAGTTGCCTTTTCGCACATATAGTGCACAAAAGGAAGCAGTCCACATCGGACGCGTTCTCACCTACTAGAAATATTTCGTTTGGTTTATTCGGGGCCTCAGCAGAATGCGGAAGAGGCAGGACATGACTCAGTCATACAGCCAGTATGTAAATTAGTCATGAATAACCATCTCTTTTCTTACCTTAAATTTGTCTGACAATTCTGGCGCTGGCTCTTAATGACAGGAGATCCCGCATCGACTAAAACCAGCTACAGCTGTTGCAGAGCTTCACACTTGGTTAACTCTGAGTTACAGTGTGTTGACAGCACCAGTGTCCCTCTCACATTATGTTGTATCATTGGGATCAGCACTAATATCAAATATCATCACAATATGTAATTAATTACCAAAGATATTCTTCACTGGAGTTGACAAATACACTGTTTTTGATTATTGTTATTTCTAAGCCAACATGAAGTGTGACAGGGTGGATAGAAGTGAAAGTCGCGTCAGCATAGAGCCCAAAATGGCAGCTACAAACATTTTTTCTTCTGATTTCTACTTGCTGTGTAACATTTAAACTTCAACAAATGTAAGATTTGGGTGACAGTAGCAGGAAACATAGAAGTATTGATGCAGTGATGACTAGGACTAATCAGAATATCTAAAAATCTCTGACAACCGGTGATGTTTAGTCGACATCTGTGGTGCCAGGTTGTCATCACTGATACGTTTCTGTGCAGAGATTACCTGTGTGTCAAAAAGAGTAGCTGCGTAATATATTTGTCCTAACTGGAATTTTATATACCTTTTAGATTTTTTTCTATTTTCAGTGAGCAAGGTACTAATGAATCGGTTACAGAGGGCAACAAAACACCATTTGCCTTTATGAATTTGCCGATTGTTACTTCTAGTGAATGGATGGACACACTCGCTCACGTCCACGTGTGCATACCTGCCATCTGCACAATCAGACGACAGCGTTTCTTTCGTTCCCTTCTCTCCTTCTCAAACACATCAACATACAGACGTACCACCTACGTACTCATTGCCCTCTAACCCTGCCGCCCGTACACAAAAGGACCATTAATTCTGAGTGTGAGTCTGTGCATGTACACAAAGTCCTTGTATGTAGGTGTCTATGTCGATGTGTCTGGTGGGCAGTTAGAGGAAGGGGGCCTTGTGTTTTCTTAAGGGCTGAGTGGAGCAGGGCCCCCACAGCACCACCTTCCCCAACCCATTCATCCAGCATCCCCCCTCCCCTCAGTAAAAGGAGATCTTTGTGTGCTTGCGCTAGTGAAGCAGCCCCAGTCAGGCCCAGTGTTCCCAGAGGAATACAATGAATGGGAGCATTTTGTCCCACTCTATAACCCCCCCACCCCCCACATCTCTCTTCTTCTTTTTTTAGGCAATCAGACACAGAGACCTGTTTTTCTTCTCTTTTCTTTTTCTTTCCTGTGTGTCACAAGACCTCGCTTGTGTGTGTGTGTGTGTGTGTGGGAATGCCCCCCACGGTACCCTTTTTTTGGGGGGGGGGAGTGGGGTCAGAAGTGTGACCTAAATGATATTGTCTGAAGGGCTGGTCAGGTGATGAACACATGTAGCTGCACGCTTACTGAACAAAGCCAGCTGTGGATAATACAGATGTCTAATGCCCTTTTGTTGCCAGAGACATATGCTGTACACACACACACACACACACACACACACACAAATACACAACCTCATTTTAACCTTGACCTTAAAACCAAGTCTTAAGCCACAAACAGCCCTTTGATGGAGTGAAGACAACCAAACGTGTCCTGACTCTCTCAGTCTAAAGCTGCATTCAGTCCTCATACAGACAGAAGTATAAGAACAGGCAGCACCTACACACTGACCCCCACCACCACCACCACCACAACCACACACACACACATCAAAAAAAATTTACCTTAATTTATTTGATTTCAGAGTGTGACTACACAAAAACACCAGTTATGTTAATAAGTGTCGAACATGTGTAGTGCATCACGTTACTTACTGTAGTGCCCAGCATTTGATTTGCTAAACATGCGCAAATGTAGTTGGCTTTATAACATGATGATGATGTCTTTCTTAAATTGTGTTACAATAATTCAAAGCAATGAAAACCAGTAAATCCTCATATTTGAGAAGCTTTAAACAGTTAATTATCAGAATTGGTGTTGATTAACTTTTCTGTTGATCTTAATCATTTCAGCCCTTCATCAAACACACACACACAACTCACAGACGGTCCTGTTCCCCTCTCTCTCTATTTAGTCATGCTCTTTGAGCTTCCCTACCACAAACCCTTTAACCCTCCCTCACAACCACCGTAATCGTCCCAGAGGACATTCGTCTTATTCAACCAATTCAGCAGTGTAACCATGCAGTACAAATGCAGAGAAATACTGTAACTACACAACATGCTGACTGCATAAATTTGGGCTCTAATGATGAAGTGTCCTGGGAGGACAGTGGGAGGTGGGGAGTGTGGTTAAAGGAGATGAATGGAGGTAGATGGCACTGAATGGAAGATGGAAATGGAAAGAGAAGGAGGGAGGTGGCAACAAGCGTTCAACACAGTAACAAAAGAAAAAAGAAAGGAGAGAAAAAGAGAGTGACTGTGAGAATGCAGGGAAAACAAAAGGCAAATAAAAACAAGAAACCTCAAGAAACAAGGACAGAAAATGGGAGAAGAGAAGGAAGTGATAGGCAGTGGAAGTTACCAAACAGTTATAAAATGGAACAACTGAATAAATTTCCCTCTAACTAATTTTATAGGTGAAGGTTTTGTCAGTAAAGAAGCATGTATGTATTTTGAATTTTATAAAAATGACACCACAACCTCCCAGAATTTTTTTATCTGCAAGCATGAAATATAACTGATAAAAGATAAGATCAGTAAAAAAGTAATGGAAATATTGATGAAGCCTTTTTTATCATAGATGAGTTGATGCTGACATTGTGTTTGCTCTACAACCCAAATAACCAAAGCACTTTGCATTTCATTTCAATGCAACGTGTTTGAAACGCTGAAACATTTCCTCAAGTCTCAGAAGGAACTTAACAAGTGAGAAGAGAAAAAAAAAGACAGGGACACTAGGGCAGAGGAGACAAACAACTTTACTACAGTTACTACACAAATCTGAACAAAGAGAAGGGTGGGGTGAAGGCAGAGATTGAAGAGAAGAGAGGGAGACTGTCCAGCGGCCGGGACAGCCAGCCTCGACAGATTCCCGCAGGCTCGTCTTTGACATGCTCGCTTCGGTTCAAGCCCTCAGCACCTTAACTCGGTCGAAGCCGCAGTTGTTAAGTCTTTCAGGCTGCCATGAAAGGCAGCTGATAGCCTCATTGTTGTTTTAAAGGCATTTTGTTTTTCATTTTACACTTGTCTCTCAAGAATGTACATCGTTTATTCTTTTGTCTCTGTTCTTTAGCTCCATCTCTTCAACGCAACTTGTCATTGCATTCTTTTATAGCGTGCTTTGTTCTGGGCACCACCTCCTTGTCATTTGATGGAGTAGTTTGTGTGTGTGTAATTGTAATTTTTGTTAACTGTTGGTTCTTTTTCTCTCCTTTGGTTCCTTCTTTTCCTTTCCCTTTTTTCTGTCCTACTTTTCATTTGTCTTTTATTTGTTTGTATTGTTTGCATTCTTTTCTTCTTCTCTTTTTTCCTTTATGAAAATCTTTGCTTTTTCTTTCCTTCATTTTTTTTCATTGGATTTTCAATTTTGCTTCACAGTTTGATTCTGCTGTCATTTTTATTTATTTGGATGTGTGTCTTTGTGCGTGTTGTGCATGCTGCATTCATGTAGATACTGTAGGAAGAGTTGTGTGTGTTACCTTTCATGTAAGGGCTTTAAACATGTGGCCTGTTCTCACCTTCCATCCATGTCTTTGTCTGTCTCGACCTCTCCGTGTCTCAGGTCCAGGGTCACATGCCTCCTCTGATGATCCCAGTGTTTCCTCATGACCAGCGGTCTCTGGCAGCTGCTGCTGCTGCTCAGCAAGGCTTTCTCTTCCCACCAGGCATGTCCTACAAGCCAGGTACGCGCACATACACACAAGCATACAATGAGCTGCTGCCCAAGATACATTACACACTGGTGAATGATAAGGAAAAATGTTTTCTAGATAAAGATTCATGTCTTTAAAGGAAAAGTTTCATAACACTTCTCAGCAGCTGAAGTAGAAAGAGCAGGTCTCTCTCCTTCAGCCTCTCTCTCCAGACACACACACATGCACCCAATCACAAGCACTGGCATCCCAGTCTTTGTTAATGAGGTGTGTCAGGTGAGGAATGTCCTGGAAATGAGCAGAGAGATTTACAAGCCCGGCTTGTTCATGTCAGGAACAATTCAGTGGACACAGCGAGGACTGGAATGTCTCTTTTATGGCGTGCTGAAAGCGTGGCAGTTGCACAACACATCTGCAACATGGGATTTCACACTTTCTCACTCACAAACGTACGCACATACAGTATGTACACTCTGAAGCATGTTCTCCTGGTACGCACATCACACATATGTGATATAGACAATCACATGCATTTCCAGAAACACTGACAGAACACAGAAGAAGGTGTGCATGTTGCATGCATTAGCAGCCCACAAGGATTTTGTGTGAACAAGCGCAACAAAATGCTTGAAGACACATCAGCACAGGCTTCAAGTACACAGTCTTTTACTGCAGGATCCTCAGCACCACCTGCTTTCTTCCTCTCTCCTTGTCCTTCACACATTCCTCTCTTCCATGGATTCCTCCAGGTGCTCGCCTGATGCTGCACAGCATCGACCCTCCATACTTAAACTGAATAATCGTGAGCATACACTCCCACGAGGCTGCAGAGTGAGGTAGAAATGAAGAAAAGGTTTAAAAGCCATTATTGCACACTCTCCTTTGACTTTGGTCTGTTTTTAACAAAGGCTGGGACATGGAAAGCCTTTTAGAGACAAACAGTAGGGGTTATACACGGCACTTGTGTATGAATTTATGAGTGCTTCCCAATGAAGGAGCGCTGGACTTGACCTCTGCTCGCCTTGGTCTCAAGCACCTATGTGTACTGTCATAAGTGATATCAACCTTTGAATAAAACACTCGTGACCCTTCGTGTTTCATTTGGCATGAATAAAAGCATGAGAGCAAAAAGGAAGGGATTGGAGAGTGCGACAAAGAAAAGGAGACAGATAGAGGTTGGCTGAAGGTAAAAAGCAGGTTAGTTCTTGTGCAGTTATTTGCCTCCACCTCGTTCTACAGTATGTGCTGTTTTGGTTTTTCAACAGGTGAGAATTACCCCATGCAGTTCATTCCATCTACAATGGCAGCTGCAGCAGCATCTGGACTCAGCCCATTACAACTTCAGGTAAGGCAAAATATAATTTAATCATAGTCAGCACACTATCTTAGCAAAACCAACACATTCTGCACGGCTGGATACCGCTAGAAGAATAAGAAAAAGTTGTGAGACTGCACAAAACATATAACAACAAAAGAATCACACAGCGATTGGTGGGTGTGGGACTGTTTGTGTATGAGATATGCTCCAGTTTCACATGGATTCACTTTTTGACTCATAAAAACTTTCAAGAAATAAGCAGAAGTTTCTCACAAATTGCCTTTGTTGTATAGCTTATGTCTAAACCAAACTTGTACCCGCTTAAAGCTTGTCTAAAGGAAAGATTTTGTCTAATTTCGTTGTGTAGTGTTGCTGTCATAGTGGTGTAAAAAAGAGGCCATGTAACTTAGTGTAGGAGCTGGAGATTGTCAGAGCAAAGACAAGCAAAGCAAACCAGAAGAAGTGCCTCTTCAATATCTATGACAATAACTTCACTGTAGTAGAAATGAAGTTAACGAACAGCAGCAGCAACAAAGTCAAAGCTGTAAGGGTGAGGATTTGTACACTAAGTACATACAGTATGAGGGTGTAACCAACAGGCCAGAACCCAGGATGATTGTACAGAAATGGGAGTATAAATAGAAAAGACAGTCATAAGGAACATTGGCAAATCCACTGAAACTCCTATTCATTCTAACCTGACCCGGGGTTTAAGTGGGGAAAAAAAAACTTGCAATATTTTCATGAAGTAAAAGACTTTTTATGACTCCTATCCATTGCCAACTCAAAGAACACAATAGTGATTTGATCTGTATCTTTTGCATGAAGCCTTTTATATTTTGCCTGTGAGATCTAGAGGTCAAGGCTATTATGAAACATCGAGTGTCTCTGAACCAGTTCACAATAAAAAAAGAAATTTTTCATAAGAAGTGATAGCTGTCATGACTGCAAAGTGAAACAAGCTAGTGTCAGAGAGAAGGTTAAACTTCAACGAGAAATTAAAGAAAGAAATGCTGCATTGTGTGATTGACAGGTGATCTCAGGAAAGTGCAGCTGCCGAAAATACCAGAAGAACAAGAACATTTGCCTGCTACCCTTAATTATTTCCTGACTTTGCTTCTTTGTACAAGTAATAAATACTCTCAGCTATATGTTCATGAATACCTCCAAACAACCATAAGAGCCAAATGAATGGGAAATACAAATGGAAGCTGGAGGAGGCCCAGCATGCACGATTCAGCTCAGATCACAGGCTTGTTTCTTAATGATTTTAATGGAGTTAACTTTTTTCAATAAAACAACAGGACGCATCGGTAAAAGATAAAGCTCTATAGACTGACGCTAACATGCTAGCTCGCTTATCTGCTGCCTGTCAGCTGTGTTAGACAAAAGCTGTTATGATGAATCACAAAGGAATTCCGCCCCACCAGCACAACACCTGGCCCAGGCAATTCATCAAATATTTTATTATCGCTTGACACCTGCAGTTTGAGAATAGCACTTATCCATAATGCTTATCATAGAACATATTTGTGAGGGGAAAAAAGTGTGAAACAAAAAAGAAGAAAAGAAAAATTTAATCTTTACTTTCTGGAGGCGGTTTGGAATTTCACAACACAACCCCATCACCCCTCCTGCTGCACCTTCTATCAGAGGAAAGAACAAAAGTCCTCAAAAGGTTTTTCACTGGCAAACAATATTGCTTCATCATGTCGGTCGTTACCATAGCATGGCTTTTGGATGTTATAAGAATCCTTATCTCAGTTTATTCAATTTGTATTGTGGTTTTCGCTCATTGAGGCTCTCATTAGCCACTATTGACTTAGCAAAGCGCCGTGCTGTGCTGAGGAGATCGGAGCCTCGGCGCAGCCTATCTCCACTCCTGGCTTTGAAACGATCAAAAGAGCAGTACGGTGAGTGAGAGGTAAGAGGTTGAATGATGTCGGAGTTGCAAACTAATTCACATCTAAACACTGCTTGAGACTCGGAGAATGAGAGGCAGAGAGCAACCTGAATGAAAGAGGAAGCTTCTCATCTCGGTGTCGGCTGAGTTTGAGTAGGAGACTTAGAAAAGGAGGAAGACAGAGAGCGTGGAGTGTTTACGAGAGAAAAGACGTGGAGGCGCTAGCTTCCAGCACATGTCTGGTCATTGTTTTGACAACAATGCCTATGCCAAAAGCAATCATGATGAGATTTATGACTTGTATTTGTTTAGTTATGCGTGTTCACAAATTTGCCAGCAGTACTTTTTATACTATGGTACACTTGCAGCATTGTAACTATTAGACTGTACAGAATTTAGGGGACGGACACAATAAAACACCTGCACAGTTTACTGCCATTCAGTCCAGCAGTGTTGCAGTAACATTACTTGAGGCTTATGTGGTTTTGCTTCTTGAAATGAATCAAAATGTTATTTAACCTCCCATGTACTGTGTAGTATAGGTTGCATGGTTTTGGAGTCTGTTTGCTGTGTATATGTGCTGCTTGTTTGTGTGTCAGAAGGTTTGACAATTACAGGGTTTCCCTCAGGAAGTGTGTCAGTGACTGAGCTAGCCTTTACTTTTCTCAACACTGGAGAATAAGTGTTACTTTCATTAATTATCATACAGTGAACATACAGCATGTCTGATATGATCCGTCAACGAGAGCTGAGTTGAGTCTCTCAGATCCCGAGGCGTCTTGTCTCATAAACAGTGTCCAAACAACAATTGGTGACACGGGCTTTGCTGCACGGGTTTGCACTTCGGCTTCTTTATTGTGCAGTAATTTCTTCTGTTGTTACCATGTGCTCTTTATTTCCACCTCTGCTATAAAATGCAGCAGGAAACCCTGAGCTGCAATGATTCTTATATACCAAATGTAGAACAGGAACACTAATTTTTCTACATCCTGCACTATCTTTAGCCCTTTGGCCTGCATGTAGCCATCGTGGTTACGCTGTAGTGCCACAGCGGCTCTCTCTCTCTTTCTCAGCTCTGGCTCTGCTTTCTTCATGGGCTCTGCCTTTGGGAGGTGAGGGACAACGACAGCACGGCCAACCTGTTTTCTCACAGTAATTTTAACCCAGAGCCTCACTAACACACTAATGGCCAAAGGTTTTAGAGCACCTCTGTTTTTATTTTTAGTTTGTTCTGCTGTTTAAATCAGGGGGTGTAGCAGCACTGCCTTTGTACAGACAGAATTCATTGTTGTAAATAATCAGCAGTAGTTGGGACACCTGTAGGAATCAGATCAGGAATCAAGGCTTCATTTACCTACATCTGCAGAAATGATGGAGGCTAATCTGGTATTTAATCTCTGAAAAAGCCCTGATTTATGTGAAATTTACATACTCGTTGGTGGCTTTTTTCTTTGTTTTACCTCTGGTAGTTTACTTCTTAATTTTGTACCATTTAAAGTTATTCACTGTGAATAAAAACTGGAAAATGGGGGTGTTCTAAAACTTCTGACCTGTAGTGTACTTCTACTAACCTCTTGTGTTTTTACTCGTCGCTTCTTTATCATACAAGAAAGTTGTCTCTGGCCTTTGTGCTGTCTGTGGCTTGTCATGTTGGAGATGTATAAACTAAGGCCAAATGTGCACCAATTAAAGATTTTAAAAAATCCTCTATCAGACTTGCATGGAAAGTGCATCATAGGACAAGTCAATGTATGGATTGATTTCAAAATAAATAGAATGTGTTTTCCTTTGCTTTTTGTTTATCACCCAACTGGTGAGTTGCTCAGGTGGATTTAAACAAGGCTCTGATGTACAATCCTTGGTAATGTCTTGATATAGTAGTTCAGTGGACAAACTGAGATCCGGTCTGTTTTTTAGCGGTTTTTAGTTGTAAGTCTTACTTAGGCTTCATTTCACCATAGCCTTAACCCCAGTGTGAGAAACTGTGCATTAGAGCATTGTAAAAAGACAATTACACCGTGTTAGCTTTCTCCTCTGCTTCACAGTGTAGTCGAGTACACAACAGCTGGCATCAAACCATTTTAATGCCAGATCTGAGCTCAGTACAGGATGGACAGATGCTGTAGCCAGACTACTCCAGATGTTTCAAAGTTAAGCCCTGTAGGAGTTTTTCAGACAGCTGGCCGGCACTGATGGTCAAGCTGGCATAAATTGGCATAGAGAAAGTGTATATTCTCACATCACTCGAGAGAAGACAGTAAAGTTTCAGAAAGTAACAGCAACAATAGAGCATTTCCTTTATTTTACACCTTAATCAATTGAAGAAAATGTATCAAATCAAAACCAGGATAACAAAGATATTTGGCAAAAGCTGCCCCGTTTGTGCCTGACCTATAATGGCCTAAGAAGTTTGATAGAACAAATGTCGTGCCATTGGCGTGGGAACTCGATCAGGCCAATTGTTTCCAGAGCCTTGGAGTAGACCCCTTAACAAACAGTGGATTCCTGCAGAAGAAAGGCCCCCTTTGTGTGTGGCTAATGCGAGGGAAATACAGTTGCTTAGCAGACATTCTTGTTGAAATCATAAGACATCTCTTGCTGTCTGTCTCTTTGTTCGGCTTATTTCTTTTTCTGTGTTTAAGGCGGAAGGATGAAGGTGAGGAACAAACTCTTCTGCCTGTATTGCCAGCAATCAGTAATTAGAGCAGAATGGCTTTCTTTGTCGTTACCTGAGGGCAGTGGTTGGAAGGCAGGCTGATTTGGTTTCCTTAACTTAAAAATTACACGTTTGCTCTATGAAGGAGAACAGGAAGTGAGATGATGGTTGTTTTTATGCAGCCGGCCTCTCTGTGTATCTCTTTTACTCTCTTGGACGCGGCTAACCCTTCTAATGCAGTACTTAGCTCCAGCCAGCTCAGTGGCAGTCGATCCATCTCACTCTCTTCCTCCTCCTCCTCTGACCCTTTCAAACCTGCTGAAAAAGACAAAACCTCATTTATTTTGTGTACTCCTGAGATCGATAGCACCTCCGCACTTAAAGACACTAACTAAAGGGATTCTCCACTCAGTCCTAATGGGACAGAACGGTCTGAGCACAGAGGAGGCTGTTGGCAGGCTACAGTACACTCGTCCAGACAGTCCTATCTACACAGAGACCACAACATGACCTTCTCTCTGCTTCCTTATGCGCTACACCAAACTGGGTCGAGGCGATTAAAAACAAAAAACTACTGATGATTTGAGGGATCAAAAATGACAGATTAATCATTTGGATTTTAGTAAAATAGCACTAACATCCAAAGTCCAGTCAGAAAATCCAGACAGCCAAGGTGCGGTTCAAGGCCCTCCTTGTCAATTTGTAATTTAGAAAATTGCAGCATTGTCTTCCCCAGGGGTTAAATGAATGGCAAGAGCTCTAGTCGTGGTTGATTACGCTGCACATTGGCCTCCCCAGACACCAATCAATCTCAGAGGGTCTTTAAAAAACAGAGAAAAAAGGGTAAAAGGTAAAAGCTTTCATTTTCAGTCTTTTGTTTGTTCAACAGTTCCCTCTTCTTATTTGGAATTGCTGAATCGCTGCTAAGAGCACAATAGCCACGGTGCGATTGCACAAAATGTGTGTGTGTTAGAGCAGCCATGGGTGTGAGATCCTCGCTGTGTGTTTTACCTCAAAGACTCGTGTGTCTGGTCCAGCCTCTGCTCCCCTTAGCGCTGCATGAATATCAGGCATCACCAGAAGTAATCTGCGGTCGGATTGATTGACACGAGAGGCCTCCCCACCAGCCATTCAAGGCACATTCTTACAGGGTTCTCATATCGCCAGGGGTTGGCCCGAGCACTCCTGGTGCTTTCCAAGGAAAATAAGCGGCGTGACATCAGGGCTTTGTTTCAACAGCGAGGCCCCTTCTGTTTGTGTTTAATATCACTCCCAGAGAAGTGGAAAGAGGACCAGCCAACTTCTCTAGCCTGGCGCTTCAGCAATGAAACGAAGGTGGTCTCGTGTGTCTGCACCGCAACACTCTCTCTTTCTCGATTGGGCTCCCTTTGCTTTTGGATTTCTGGTCCCAGGAGGCTTTGCAGTTTTGACTACAGGGAAATGAGATCTCACAACACTGGGGGACTTTCAGGCTGAGGGGGCAGAAAGTAAAAACTCAAAAGACCAAAACAGAAATGGAGATGGGGGAGAATATATGAAGAGTGATGTTGAATACAAAACAGAGAGAAGGAAGAAATAGGAAGAGAGTCAGAGTGAGATCAAAAAAGAAGTGGACAAAAGAAAGACGAATGCAGAAGATGAGGGAGAGTATAGAGGAGGTGAGAGCAACAAAAAAAAGGAAAGCGGGGGGAGTCTTAAGAGAAGGCCAGCCATGTCTGGGTGGTTTTCCTGAGGACAAGCTCTTTGATACTCCAGAACTCACACTCCAGTGCAGTTAGACAGGGGTTGACAGTGGTTTCAGGCAGCGGTTTGTCTGGCCAGCTAACACCGATTTAGAAGACCCTGGACTGTGTGCCGAGTATTTGACTCTTTGATTTTTGTTAAGTACCTTGGATGGAAAATCCTCAGTATTTTTTAAAATGTTTTCGTCCAACCCTGGAGGCAGATGACTTGCACTTTCCAAGTCTTTTATTTTAAGGTTTTTATTATTTTTATATTGTTTTAAAGAGTTTTTTCAAATGACTCCCATGCCCGAGCCGTTACCGCAGTGCACCTAGACCTACTTAAACTGGATTGCCTACTATTGTATTTGTCTAGACTTAAAGTTAGTGAAGATGCTAAACTGTCTGAACTCTTAAATCAATGTGTATGTGACCAGATTAGTCCCAAGTATTTTTTGAGACTCATAACATGTTTGCAATCTTAATTTGATTTTATTTTAACTGACTTTTAAAATTATGCATCTACTCTCAAAGCCAAAACTTAAAAAACTGTCCATATAACATAAAAGGCCCATGTGACTTTATTCCATTGTGGTTCACATTGTTACATGGAAAATAAAGAAACCACTTATTTATTTTTAGCAGTACTGAGCCAGGCATTGTCCTGAAGACATATTTTATATCATTGTATTTAGGCAGAACTGAGTAATAGATACCCCCACTTTGGAAACAGTCAGTGTTAAACTTAGAGAGAATTTAAGTAAAGTATTCAGAAGTTTTTTTTAGCTACTATCAATTTTTTTGTAGATACAGATTGATGTAGAAGCTGTTCCCAGCATCTGTTGAAAAGTTAATTATAAGAGTTGGATTGTAGATCATTTAAACTAAAAATGTTTCTGCTGGAATACCTCCCTGATATCTGCTCGCCCCCCCTCAATCAGATCTTTCATTTGTGTTCAGAACTAGGTGTGTGTGCAAGCACATCTGTTTCCATATTAATTTATGTGTTATGTGTTAACCCAGACACACACCTGTCAAACCTCAGATGATGCAAGCAGTACCAGGGAGAGGATACAGCAGCAAAAAATAAAAAACAACACACAACAGGATCAAGTAGAGAGAATGAGAAAGGAAGGCCACTGACTAGCTGCTGGCGAATGATGTTAATCGCCTGTTGGTTTTGCTGGTTTATTTCTTTTTTTGCAGCAGCTGTACGCCGCCCAGCTGGCAAGCATGCAGATTTCACCAGGAGCCAAGATGGCTCCCCTCCCACATGCTCCCAACTCCTCCGGTCCCCTTTCCCCCTCCGCCCTAAAGAGTGAGAAGCGAGCATCCAGTCCGGTCGCTCAGATTAAGGTGAGTCCATTGTTACAAATGATTTATCACAGAGTCGGTTACATGTCTCAGTGGAGTATGCACGAGCATGTTGGACACATTTGTGACAATAATATTGCAGTCCAGGAGATGGGTTGATGTACCAACAAGCAATAGGCAAAAATGACAACACCTTGGAAAAATTTGATTATATTAAAGAAACAAGAAACGGGGAGTTAGACAATGTATAACAGAAATCTAAACACGAGCTAAACCCTCTTGTCTTTGGCATAGAGCCAAACCCAGTTGATGTTGGGTGAGATGTGGGGTACACCCTGGCCAGTCAGTCACAGGACTGACACTGAGAGACAGTCAACCATTCACGCCTACAAGCAATCTAGAGTCACCACTTAACCTGCATGTCTCTGGACTGTGGGAGGAAGTGGATTCCTGTGTGACTATGGTGTAACTATGGCATGTAACTATGGCATGTAACTATGGCATGTAACTACGGCGTGTAACTATGGCGTGTGATGTAACAGACAGTACAATAAGACAAAGGAAAGAATGAGTTCACAATATGAATGACAGAAAACACAAGAACAATGCTGATGATCAGGATGGAATTCTGGAAGTTGTTGAAACAACAATCTGCAAATGGCAGACAGCTTATTTAAATGTCACACACTGATACACACACCGGCTCACAAACAGACACTGGCGCTGGCTGCTGTTTGGCAGCAGCCCAGACCCCTTCAGTGGAGAGAGCGTACGCCTCATCTTTACTTGACGATGAGGCGGTAATGGAAGCCATGTGTGCGTGTGGGGCACAGCTGCAACCGGCGTCACAATAGACCGGCGTCAGAGCTCACCGCAGTCGAACAGTAGTGCTGCGCCCTCCTAACTCCCCACCCTCTGCTAACCCCCACACATGCTCAGCTCACCCTCCACTTTGGCATGCCACCCGCAACCTCCCCCCTCCCCCCGCTAAGCTCCTTCCCTTCTCAACACTTCCCTCAGCTGAAGCTCAGCTCCTAATTAGATCTACATTGATTAAGTGATTTCTGCCAACACAAGAGTCCCAGAGAAGTCGCGTCAACCTGTGGACATTTACTTCCTGTCACTGCCTTTCCCTTTCCAGAGATTCCTCATGTGGTTATGAACCTTTTGTTGGAAATAGAGGGATCACACAAACAAAGGCAGTATTGTTTAGACAAGAAGGTAGATGGCAACTTTTTTCCTGTCGGGTTCAAAGAGGTTTGCTGTGGAATCCACTTACCGTAGGCAAAAACCTGATGTTTGATCACTCAGTGGAAGTGTCTCTGAAGTAAGAAGTGGCTGTAGTGAGTCATTATCAAACATATATGTCAAAACATTATGACCACTCACAGATGAAGTATTTAATGTTGATTATCTTGTAACAACAGCACATGGTCTGGTATGTTTATCAGATGGCAAGTGAACAGTCGGGGTTGGAGCATCTTCGATAAACAGCAACACTTGTGGAGTACACCCACGGCTCATTTAAGCAGATGTGCTACAGATGTTATCCTATCTGGTCTGACAAGACAAATCGATGTAGGGGATGTGATGCTGTGATGTGGTCATCAGTTTGACATGTGCCAACTACCTGAACAATTCTTGGCAGCACTGATTTTCAAACAAGAGCACATACTAATCCCACACACTCACGAGAACAAAAATCTGACCCGACACTTTTAGATGTTTTCACAGTTCTGTTAAACTCTGTCGTGTGTGCTCTGCTAACAGGAGGAAGGATCCCAACAACCATTGAACCTCTCAGCCAGACCCAAGACAGCCGAGCCTCTTCGTTCGCCGACGTCCCCGACGCAGAATCTGTTCCCCGGAAACAAGACCAGCCCTACAGGCATGGGCAAGGGCCGCATCCCCAGCCCCATCCCCAGCATGGGCAGAAACACCTCTCTGGGTAAGGCACACATACTTGCATGCACTTGAACAGCGGTGTTTCTTTTACCACTGGGTGGACGGGATGGGCCACCCAGCCCAGCAGCACTGCCTAAATGAAGTACATTAGCACTGGCTTACTGACATGTTCAATAAGAATCACAAGGTCTAAATGCTGCTTCACCATGCCAAGAAAAAATTCTGAGGGGAAACACTGACGCACTCTGCGCATACTGTACATGCTCTTGCGCACAAACAAACACCCACTGCACTTTCATACACCAGTGTATTGTTCACATCTGCGCTGCACATCCATCTAGAGGAAACACAGCCTCACTCCAGTGTAAAACTGTTCTTTCCCTCAACCGGAAAAACAAAAACATCACCCACCCAAACACCTACCCCCTCCCCACCACACACAGACAAACCAAGCATGCGCCTGATAGACTGCAGGCACCTCAAACCCAGGAGGGAGACCTGTGTGTGTGTTTGTGTTCTACAGGAGTCCAAAGCCCTGTGTTTAGCCCCAATGAAAAACCCCAGCAGCGGAAGCAGTGAAACCCAGCACATGTTATTTGGTTTTTAAGAGCTTCCTCACATCGTTGTCTGCCCGTGCTAGACCTTTTATGCCCCTATCTGTTATTAAGGCCAGTCTAAACCCTCTCATTATATCCCCCAAGAAAACAATTTCACCAGCTCCTGGAGTAGCTTTGAGGCCGCGACACTTGTGTTCCCTGCAAAGTTATTTTTTGCCCATTTTAACGACCACCCAAGCATAGTGTTTTCTACTGGTCTGCTAATTAAACCAGGAGGGCAATGGAAACTTTGTATCCTTTTATTTATTTTTTCTTATTCTTCAAATGTGCATTGGCTTCAGAAGTGTGAAACACTTAAACAAGGGGGAGGAGAGTCTGTCGTGATGAGTCATGAGTGGCCTGGAAAACAACCGGAGCAACATTTGGCTCTGAGAAGATATTGGAAAACAATTTATTGCAGATGTTTAAATATTGTTATAGCAGGAATTTGTCAGCAACTGTTGTTCTTCAAGTTCAACAGCATTTGGTTTGTTAAACTGACAAATAAAAAATATTTGCTAATCAGATTTTGGAAACCAGCAGCTATGTAGGTGAACACTTTGAAAACTGCAGACAGCAACCTTACGCTGGAGAGATAGGATCCAATATTAACGTAGAATTCCCTGCACACGTCAGACCTCTTATTAAGACTGATACTTCTGTGTCTTGCCAGCCAAAGTGACATTCGGTTTTCCCTCGTTTCCCTCCCAGACATCCTGTCAAGCCTCAACTCCACAGCACTGTTTGGGGACCAGGATGCAGTGATGAAGGCCATCCAAGAGGCCAGGAGCATGAGAGAGCAGATCCAGAGGGAGCAGCTCCACCAGCAGCAGCAGCAGTCGGGACATCAGAGTCTGGAGGCCAAACTGTCTGCCCTCAGCAGTATGAGCCTCAACAACGGCAACAAGGTTATCATTGTCCAGTTGGTATCACCTCTTCATCCCATACTTGAGCTCCTATGTGGGAGTTCCCACTGCCTACATATAGAAAGTGTAAAGTGTAAAGAGGAGTGTACAATATCATATCACTGCTTTCCCTTCAGTTAAAGATGTGAGCCCTGACAGCAGGCAGAATCATTTGCTGAGGAGGATTTGTTTTGCATTTGTCTCTTTAGAGCATTCCGCTCCATGTAATATTCTCTGTTACTCCTTCACACACACCTCGGTCGATCTCCACGCACCTTGCCCCTGTGCCGCCTTTTCACCGGTATTTTATTAGCCAGGTGTTCCAAGGTTTCTGCTCAGCATGTGCAGAACATTCATGATATTTGGTGTTGTTTGGCTCAGGCTGCAGCTCTTGAGAACTTCTCCTTTCTCCTCTCATCTCCATGGCCACCCAGAAGCCAGCAGCTTTGAAGAGGGAACAGCTGGGCCAATGACAAGTGATAGTTTTAGTGTGTGTTAGTGTGTCTACCTCGACTGAGACTGAGTGGGTGTTTTTTTTTTGGAGAGAGGACGTGTTATCATTAATGTGTGTGTATGTTTATAATAGAGTTGAGCTCTCCACTTGCCCTGGAGGGGAGATCCCGGCCTCGGGATTTTAGTCCAATCACAGGGCCTCTCTCTGGGAAGGGACCTCCCTTGCACTCACCTCTTTTCCCGCTCATCTCACCCCTTTGGGCTGAAGGAGACGGGGCCTTTGTACCATGATGTCATGTCCAGTGGGAAATCCATATTCCAGAAAATCTTCAGTCTGGTCAGTCAGTAATAGATTTCAGGGATCAGACATTCGGTAAAATAAGTAACATGATTAGACCAGATCTCCTGTGCAATTGATCCCATGTTGTTTACAAAGATGAGGAGGAGGAGGAGAGGAGCTCATGAATATTTTAGGGGTGGAGACTTTGAACCCACCAACCCCAAGTAGGTCATGATTGGTGCACTCTAAGGATGGGCTGTTTTGAATTTTTTTGAACTTGTTTGCATTGCGTCTTTAAGAGGAAAATATCTAAACATCTGGCAAAATAGACATTGCTGTACTCATCCTCAATCCCAAGTTTGATTTTTTTTATAAGTCATTATACTAGTAAACACAGAGACTCAGAAACATAAATTATTCTGTCTAGACTAATGATGTGTATATTAAGATTTAATGTGAGTTGCCTGCTGAATGTCCAAAAAAATCCCACCAGTGTTCCCAGTTAAATCTGTGTTAAAGAGCCCAAGTTAACTTTGAAATGGTCACAGATTAATGGGAGTGCGTTGCAGGGAGAGCCACATGTGCTGCTTTCCAACTTTATGAGAACAGAACCAGAGCAATACAGTGATTTGGTTGACAGCTCCACATCTCATAGTAAAAATTCATTTGGAAACTCTCAGTGTTTCCGGTTCGAGGACCACAACAGGCCTCGGTGTTTGTCAGGTTGTTACTCGTTACCTAACGACAGCGTCTCAAAGACTTTTTTCTTAGCTTTAAAGACATCTTTCTTTGGGACCAGGACGTTTTTTTGTGTTTCTGTCAAAGGCTTTGCTCTGTCTTAAACAATTCATGGATGGAACTTGCTGGATGCTGAGAGTGTGACTCACCCGTTCCACCTCGGGAGGCAACCAGCTCTTTTTCTTTACCTTGGATTTGTGTGTTGTTTTCTGTTCGTCAAATAAATTTGTTACTCAGATCCTCCCCTCTGAAACTTTGAAGCTCTGCCCAGCCTTTCTGTTTTATGACAGTCGACCAACACAGCGTATTTAGTCAATCTTTGGAGGAAATGAGACAACTGCTGTAAATGGTATCTCAGTGTAATGTTGAATGTTGAGCTATTTATTGCCTCCGCTGATTCGACTGGAAGGGAGTCGTTGCAGTGACGTCCGAGTGTGTGTTTGTGTTTATTCCGCTTTCTGTTTGTGTATTTTTGTCCCACAGCATTCCTTTCAAGCATAGATGACATAGACATTTCTCTAAGAGCTGAATGCGACCCCGAGCTCCTTTTTGTGTGTGTGTGTATGTGTGTCTTGGCCATGTTAATGTCATTATAGCTGGTGTACAGACAAGAGGCCTGGCCAGTTAGTGGCATTGTCGAGTATCACCTTACGCTTACGTGGCTTCCAGCTGGCCTGTGGCTGCCATAGCTCACTGAAATAGCACGGTGTATGACTGTGTGTGTGCATGGAGTATGCACGTGTATGTTTGTGTGTGTAAAAGTCTCTGTACTTTTTATTCTAAACAGCTACAAAACATTCCCTAAAGGAAAACACAAGTTTTTGAAAGACTGACATGTTACCCAGGTTACATGTTTTGGATTTTAAAAACCCACCAAACTCAACCACGTTATAAATCTGCAAGTTGTCTTAAAAGTGTAAAGTTCTCTTGGAATATGATACATACTTAATTCACAGTTTTAAACCTTGAGGGACTACTTTTCCTGTTTTGAGGAGGAGGTGAACATGGATGGCAGCAGACTAAGTGCAGGTAAAACTACAGGCCACATAAAAAGGAACAGTTTCTCTTTTCTCTGTTCGAAGATCTGTTTTCCTACTTTGCAGGCCGCTGGCCATCAGTCACTCGGCAGCTGATTCTAAATTGTAAGCACTGAATGATGGGGACACAAGGATTTTTTCACTGCTCTCATAATTTGTTATCCACAAATCTCCTGTAGTCCCCTAAAGCTGTCGGCAGTTCTCTCAGCAGGCGTACGAACGGGGATTTAGACTGGACAGTTGACCAGTGTTTATTTTGGACTTGTTTATTCACAACAACATTGAAACAAAATTTAATTGACCAAACAGGTAAAAGCTGAAACCAGAACTTATACACCTGACCTTCAGTACACAGTCTTGGGAGTGCACATGACTAATATTGTCCTTAAAATTGACCCGATCTCTAAATGTTAGGGTCTTTAATTTAAAGCAGTCTGTAGAGAATTTGTTTACATTGTTGAGCAAAGTTGAACAGCAGACTCTTGCACCTTCTGTTGGTGAAGCAGAATACATCTGGATGAGGAGAGGTTGTATAGAAGTTTATATTGGCTCTGCTGTTGAGTCTAGTCTTTGGAGGAAGCGAGCCTGTGAACCCGACAGCTCAGACGGTTCCAGCTCTTGATTAAAGGTCAATGTAATGTTTCTGTTTGAAGCCTGGATGATATTCATTATTATAATGCATCCTACAAAGTAGAGTCTGGCACCTGCAAACAGGCTGTTAAGTGTCTACTTCTTTGGGGTTGGAGTCTTGAGGGGTGGAGGGGTGTTAAGGGCTATGAATAGGAGGAATGGTGAAAAGGAGGAGGGGGGAAAGAAAAAAAACCCAGGGCTGACTGACAGCTCTGTCAGCACACAGCGAAGTCTAGAGACAGAAAGAAGGGAAGAAACATGAAGAAAATAGGAGGAGGAGAGAGGGAACGCTAGGAGGGGGATGGTTGGTGGGGTGTGGAGGGCACCGAGGAGATTGCCAAACTTGATTGGTCCCGGAGAAGACAATAAATGGTTGCGGGTCAGCTGGAGGCAGGACGTGTTGGCAGTAGGCGAGTTGTAACTGTGGTAATGAGCTCAATACAAGGTGGACTTAAAAAAAAAAAAAAAAGTCATGTTTAGAGCGTTACCCTGGCAACAGTAGAGAGACCAGGTGGAACAAAAAGAGTCTGGTGTCTCTTAAATTTAGAAATATAGATTCAGCAGCAACGCTGGGTTCCGGACCCAGTGAAAGACAGTAGTGTGTTGAAAATACTGCAGCAGCACAGATGTGATTCGCCTGTAATTAACCTGGCATTTTTAATTAGTCACCAATCTCAATCTTCTGCTGGTTTAGTTCATCTTTGTCCCTGCACATCATTTATTCAGTTTGATGAGTGTTGTCCTAAGTTAGCAAATGTGTCTGCTTCAAATTCAAGTTCACCTTTTAATTCAGACCCGGGTTAAAAAGCGGTGTAATGTAAAGACATTCTGATATATTAATGTGCTTCCTGTTCAGTGTAACTGGGCGTCAGCTTTCCAAATCCTTTGACATTCGCCATTTTAACAACAACAAAATACAGATGAAAGAAAAAGTTTGAAGAAAAATCTGAAATGTTGCTCCAGAAGGCAGAGGTCCAGTATCAACCCAGCAGGAGCACAAGCCAAACCTTTTTCAGTCTCAACTCAACAAAGCAAAGACAGCTTCTTATTGCATTTGCCACGAGAACGTTCGAGTAGATTAAAAGTGGACCCACCACAGGGAATAGCTGCAAGGTTCGACCCCGGTCTGCCGTTAATCTGTACTTCGGATCAGGCTTCATCTATTGGTGCTGTCCTAGTCTATTTTCCAAAACCCTAACTCTGCATTAGTTTCCATGGGTCTCCTCCCATTCACCAGACACACTCCTCTGTTTAGCATGTTTAGAAATTACAGAGCATCTAGGCCAACTGTAGCAAAGCAGTCACATTTAGTAGCATTTTGAGAACTACACATTTAATCTATGAACGCTGAAGGCATCATTGTGAGCGGTGACCAGTCTACTGTTCAGCACTGCACTTTTAAAATGAACATTTCATTGCACTCGGACCTTTATTCTTGTCTCTGGCCTGGTTTTCCTTTGCACTTCTCTTCCTTTTCTTTTCTTTCTCTATGCGTCTGTGTTTCTCTTCTTCTCTCTACTCTTTAGTCTTTTGTTAGGCGGTTGCTTCCTGCGGTGAGCATGGTACTGCCCAGGCACATGTTCTGTGGTGGGGCTGATTATAGCCCTGCCGTAGTGCTGACATTGGCCCGCGTCGGCTCCTCATCTATAAACACGCACACACATACATGTCAGCCCCTAAGTTCCACCAACTCTGCCAGCGGCTACCGCGGCATGACTTCACCCGGCAACCATTTCTTGCGTCAAACAAAATGCCTCTGTCACCAGAAAAAGGAGGAGAGCGAGAAGGCGGACGGGAGGTGGGAGGGAGAGCAGGGGAGGAGTGTGGATGTGCAGTAGCCGTGCGGAGGGTTCGATTTTTTTTTTTTCCACCAGATTGGGAGCGTGGTAGGGTAATTTTAGCTGAAAGGCACTGAGGCAGGCTGCTGGTAGGACTTATTTGTCTCAGGAGTGGAGTGGCAAGAAAGAAAGAGTGCACAACTTTGAAGCCGCTATGGTTTGCCTATTAGCTGAGTGCAAAACCCATATCCTGGGTCATTTCCCTCAAATACTATAAAAAAAGTAGTGAAGCTGCAGCAAAGTAAACTGCTTTGAGTTCTGTGTCTAAGTTTGACCTCATTCCAGCTCAACCCAGCAGTTAGTGTTATTGTTACTACCACCAAAGCCTAACAAAGAGAAGGGAAAAAGAGAAGTTGCAAGCATTAAATAACAGCTAAAAGCTTAAAAGAAGTACAGTGAATGTATTTTATGTCAGTTCAAGCAGTTGCGTTGAACTAGCAGCCTGTTTCTTGTATTGTAGGAGCGGCTGCACTATGAGACACTGAGCCAGCACCTGGGGAAGCTCGGCGAGGATGCTGGGAAGATGGTCCATCGAGTCATCGACCTGACGAGACCAGAAGATCTGGATGGTGAGCGCCTGTGCTGGTTTTCTGCAGTCCTGCAGTCTCTTTTTCTAGCACTCTGTTCTTGGTTCATTGAATATGGACACTTTCTGGTTGCTTCTAATCTTGGTAATTCAGAAATGTATGCAGTTGCACAAACGACACGATAGAAAATGGAAGGCTAGAAGGATATAAACAGAAGAAACTGCTGGAGTTTTGGGAAGCAGAGTCTAAGTTTGGAGCAGTCACATCCTGGTCAGACTGAATTGTGACCCTTAACGTCGTGGGGCCCATGTAGCAGAGGCCCTGCTAAATACCTGTATTTGCTAAATACAGGTATTTAGCAAATACAAATATTTATTGTGTTCTTCCGGCGGCTACGGTGCAGAACACTCCCAACAGTTAAACAGTGTTCAGTGTCAACATTTTATGCTCTTGAAAAATTTTACACTGTTATTATTCCTGCAAGTACGTGACACAAGATCCCACTGGTACAAGAATGCAAACAGAAGCAGGCAAAGACAGGAGCAGCAAGTCTATAGTTAGTGATCAGTGAAAAATACTGCAAATGAGAATAGTCAGAACTTTAACAAATGACAAGAAGTGACTGCATGCAGTGTGTATTCCAGGCAGTTAGATAAAATAGAGCCACTGTGACTTTCTCTGGATGTAGACTAAGGACACTGACTTGATGTCTTTTTTCCAGCCCACCTGTTTCTCATAAAGCGCCACTGTTTACAGGCAATAAAGGACTGAGGGGCTCTCATCATGGGTTCGTTTAGTCAGAGGAGTAAACACGGAAGCATAGGCAATGAGATAGTGCCTGTGTTTGTGTGAGCATGTTGAGGGCATCCCAGCGAAACCCCCAGTGGACGGCTTTATACACCTTCTGCCAGGAAGGCAACAAGAGAATGAAGAAACAAACAGCACAGGCTCTTCCTTTTCAGCTCTGAATCCTGCATTTCAAAGCACGGAAGATGCATGTGTCAGTGATGGAAAATGTTGTTTCTTTGTGTTCACACAGGGAGTAATATCACAGAGGCACGAGTGTTCAGGGAGGCGCGGGGCAGGAACAGCAGCGAGCCCCACATCAAGAGGCCCATGAACGCCTTCATGGTGTGGGCCAAAGACGAGAGGAGGAAGATCCTGCAGACCTTCCCCGACATGCACAACTCCAACATCAGCAAGATCCTTGGTGAGATTATCCAAGTTTTTGTTTGACATCAGTGCTTAACCTGAACGTCCAGGCATGGCTCTCCCCTGAATTTGAACCTTTTACTCCAAATTTGAATTCCCTGATATTTACATTCTTCTTCTCCTTTGTGAGAATATGCCATTAGAGGAATAATTTTTTCCAAAATAGTGTTCCGAATCACCTCTCTGAAGTTATTCAGAGATGTGAGACGACAACCTCATTTTGAATAAACTGCAGCTATAAGGTTTTTTTTCTCAGCATCACCTTTTGGATGCTTTGGGATATTAAATGTGGGCAAAAATAGGTTTAGACCACTGTTTTAAGAAATCTGTGATGGCGTTGAACTCTTCAGCTCCATCTCTCTGCTCAGCCATGATACTCTTTCTACAGGTCACCGAGTTTCTAACCAACAAGCTGCAGGCTATAAGAGGGACCTGGAACGCTGCACACACAGAGCCCCACTGTGTTAGCCTGACTAATGTGATGAATCCATTCAGTTAAAAAGTAGCCGTGTTGATACTAACCTCCACGACACAGATAGCCATTCACACAGCGCTGAGCGTAACGGTTGTTCGTGAAACGTCCTTAAGACTTCCTCTGTCCAACACAGGGCGCCAGTGAACTTGAGGGCTGCCGAGTGTAAATGCTCCTGAGCGGCATTAACAAATTGCTCTTTCTTAGGCGGGTCTGTGCTGCTGAACTGGAGTTTTGAATCAGCTCCTGTTCTGCGTTTTGGAGGTTCTGGTCCTTCATGACTCTATAGAACGCATCTTTATTTACCACCTTTAAATTCAAGTGATGCATTTAAAGTCCTTGATCATTGTGGAATTATTTGTTTAATAGTCACGTTTACAGTCAAATGAGCCGTAAGATCCTGTGGGCAGGATGCACTAAGACATCATTTACATGTGGCAGCACTAGAACAAAAAGCAGCATTCAAAGTGCACGATTGTGTACTGTCTGTGTATAGGACTGCATGTGTACAATGCAACATAATAACACAGCTGGGCTTTGGAGAGTGGGTGGCAGGCTGAAAAAACTCCCTCTCTTTCCTGTGTCACAAAAGTCCAAGACTAGTTTGTGATAAACCTTGATAAACAGAGGAACGAGGTGTATAATGTGTGTATAATCAGTTGTCAGAGCGCTTCACAGATGTGCTGCGTTCCTGCGGTAAGGGCCCCGTCCACTTGTTCAGAAGGTCTCTTACTGTGGAAAATAAGAAGAACACAATGTATCATTCTTCTCGAGCCAAGAGGTAGCCGAGTGTAATCCACTGCTGATTTTAAACAGCCGCCTCAGTTAGAGACTCAGTGGTGTCAACGTTCAGCTGTAAGAAACCGCCAGAAATTCTGAAGTTTCTGTGTGTACCAAGAGCTTCTGTAGGATAGAATTTAATATGAAGCTGAAATTACAGTATCGGTGCCCATCACATCTATTCCACCACTAAGTCTGTGCTGAACCACTCTGTTAAGAAAAGCAGGTCAAAGCCTTTTCTGTCGGTTCCTCCCAAAGTGTAAGGTGTGAACTCATTTTTGTGACTCCCTAAAGACTGTAATTTTTTTTTATTTCAGACAAAGTTGAGTAAAACCTAAAACGAAGATAAACTAAAATTTAAGCTGCTTGTTCCAGGTTCTCGCTGGAAAGCCATGACCAACCAGGAGAAGCAGCCGTACTACGAGGAGCAGGCCCGTTTAAGCAAGATCCATTTGGAGAAATATCCCAACTACAAATACAAGCCGCGGCCCAAGAGAACCTGCATCATCGACGGCAAGAAGCTGCGCATTGGAGAATACAAGCAGATGATGCGGTCACGACGTCAGGAGATGAGACAGTTCTTTGTGGGGTGAGTACCACTGTCCCTGAGCAGCACAGTTCGATTTTTATTAAGTGCACACACCAGTTTGAAAGGAAACTGCAGTGAATCCTATTTAGGTTATTTTATATGCTAGGACCTTCACATAGCAGTAGTGTTTGGCTAGAATTGTAAATGTAATTACAGCAGTGGTTAGCGCTGTCGCCTCACAGCAAGAACCGACCCAGGGCCTTTCTGTGTAGAGTTTGCATGCTCTCCGTGTGCCTGCATGGGTTCTCTCTGGCTTCCTCCCACAGTCCAGACACACAGCTTAGGTTGACTGGAAACTCTAATCATTCTGTAGGAATGAGTGTGATTGTGTGTGGTTGTCTTAGTGTTGCACGATATACCGGTACTAGTATGGTACCGCGGTACTGAGGCATTTAAAATGGTACTATACTGCATTTGAATCGGACCGGTACTTGCAGCGCCTGCCCGCAACAGGGGAAAACAGAGCAGGAAACAGCTTCCTCGTCCTCTGCTCACTGAGCAGCGTGGACTGGAGCAACAAA